TGACATCTAATTCCAGGGGAATCAATGGACTTTGAAAGGGGAGTTACGCAGCTAAGGATGAGAACTTCCACATGGCACAGAGGGTGGTGAGGTAGGAACCGAGGGAGATTTGGGGTGAAAAAGTATCAACTAAGGGCAGACAGGGTCCAATGCTATGCAGTCTATTCCACACAGCCTGATTTCTGGGAAAGCCACTTCATCTGGAAAAGGCAGCTAAAGCCTGAGGAAAGTGCATTTACGCATGTAAATAAATAAAATTATATTTAACCTTCTTTCCAGGCGCGCCGTGAGTGTGAATGTTTGCAAAGCTGTGAGATCCTTAGTTGAAAGGTGCTGTGAAAGTGCAAAGCATTATTAATATCCTTTACCTTCCTCATAATAGAGTATGCATTTATTCTGGGGAATTTCTGGACATAAACCAGACAGCTGCAGAATGACATTTCTTGAAAGCATCTATGATTTATTTTCTGCTCTTTAATTCCATTTTGTATTGAACGCACATTTGTCACAGGACTGTTGTTCTACTGGGCCTTTTAAGTCTAAAACAGACTTGAGGACCTGCTCCTGAGCTGGTATAAATTTGCCCCTAACTTCACTGGAGCGATTTGCTGATTTACACCAGAAGAGCACCTCAGTCCAAGTCTTTTAATGGAATTTCCATAGTGCGGCAAGTTTTGGTGTAAAATCCAAGTGGGTTTAATGACAGATAAGACTCTTGCTGTAACTAACCGTCTGGCTGGAGTTCTGTAGGATCTCTTCGAGCCACTGCGCGTCAGGTCCTGGGAACGGTATTGTTTTTGCAGAAACTCGAGTCTCTGGATGGGTTCCCTGGCTCTGCCTTTTCCATTTTGTTTTAAACACATTCAGCTTTAGAGTCTGGGCCGGGAAGCTGGGAGGGCTGGTGTGGTTCTTTCACGTTGCACGGATTTTTGTGAAAACAAAACAAAAATAGCTAAGTGGATTTGGACTATTTTTTTTTGTTGAGGGAGAGAAGGAGTTGGAAACTTGGGAACGCGTTTCAATAGCAACGCCTGTATTGCTAACTATCATATTTAACCCTTCTTACTATTGCAAAGTCGCGCTCAGAGCTCTCATCCCAACAACACAAGCGCGCCTGCCCCTATACATGCTCACACTTTACTCCATAATCCATGTTATATAGGCAAAACCGAGGGAAAGGGACTCATCTGAGGTACTCTAAACCCGGATTAAACCTGAGCTGAGACACATGCACACCATTCTTCCAAGCTGGTTTTCCATCCTAATACGTGCATTACAAGGAAACCCATTCAGAGAGATTCTGAACAATGATTTTGACCAAGCTTAGCCAAACTTCTCTGGAGAACCAAGCCTTGACCCTGGAAAGCCCAAGCAGCCATAGCAATGCACACCCAGTCAGCACATCTGATTGTAATAGTGTCACTTATTGGTTAAAAAAAAAACCCTCAGGAGATGCATTTACACTCTATCTGTGACACTGTGAGCAGATCAGGCTCCTCCTCTGTGACAGTCTCCATCTGGAGCAGGAGGCTGATCACCTCTCCAGATGATGGCCTACTTGTTTACTCAAAACATGCTGATGCATCTGCATCAACCACCCCATTTGTAGCAGTTGGGTCAATTATCTGACCCAAAAGAATCAGAGAAAATTGTAAATTTTCAATGAGTCCTGCTACTATTTGAAAAGGACTATTTTAGCCCAATTCGAAAAATATTTTTCTGCTGGAAAATTAATTGCTACCTTTCTTTTTAACAGGATCACCATGTAAGTGACCTTTCCATTAAAATTATATAATGGCAAAACTGTTTCTGATTGAGCGAAACCAAAAAGTACATTAGCATCTGGATCGGTGGAAATTTCTGAGGTTTTGCCTTTCTCTCTCAATGCAGAACACTCATGTTTTTTCAAAACATTTCCCAAAACATTGCTCCAATAGCTCTAGTTGCAATACTTCTGAAGGATATCCCAGGGGAGAAATGAAAGGCAGAGGCTGGCTGCTAAGAGGACATGGGAAAAGCCAGTGGTTACTTCAGACCTCATCTCTGCTCTCCTGATTTCAGTCACGGCCAGAGCCGCAGCCCAAGCTCCAGGTGCACCCAGATGAAGCTAGGACTTACACGACAGGTTTCCAGCAAGGAAAACGCCACCCGTCCAAGTAGCATCTTATTTACGACCATGACAACTGCTGAGGACTGAGCTTGGGGATAAAGTTGCCCGGCAGCATGCCCGTTTCCAGCCCTGCTGCTCCTTGCCCGGCCATGGGAGTGGGGACAGGGCTCCCTTCTGGGGTCAGCACGGCTGGGGCTGCCGCCTCCCTCCTGCACCGATGTCCCATCACGCTCTTTGTACCAGGCTGAAACCGTAGGGGTTTGTTTTTCAGCCTGATCTATTTGCAGTGGGGTTTGCGGTTTCTAGTAAAGAGGGAGAAAGCAAATAAGTGAAATAAAAATAAAAACAGATAGATTACATGAGCTCTGTTTTCCTCCATTCCCCTCTCTTCCCTCCTCCTCTTTCTCTCCCTCTCTTCCCCTCCCCTTCCCTCACCCGTCCGTTCTCTGTTTTCCTTTTCATGCCAATAACTAGAAGGCTGTAATTTCAAAGCTGCAGTGGCTTTCCCAGCTCCAGGAGGAATGTGCAAGTGCCGGGGATGTTTCCACTGGGAGCTGCACAGCCCCGCTGTGCTGCGCAGCCCAATGGGGCACGAGGCCGTGCTGATGCTTTCCCAGCGGCATGGGCAGAGGGGCATTTTGGGTTTCATTTCAGAGAACCTTTTTTACCCTTTCCTTCTTCCTTAAAATAGCTTCTTCACTGTGTGTGTCAAGTCCTTGGCCTCCCTGGGTTTTAAATTCACCATTCATTTTCTGTGAAATCTCATCTCATCCTCCTTTTCTGCCTGTGGTCTTGTGTCATCTTGGGGTAAGAGAAAGGGGGTCTCCTTTTGGATGGGATAAGTCGTACTCTAAACTCCATGGGGTCCCATGCCTATACTTCATGATCAGAATGTGTCAGGCTCACGGACTGCCCAAACAGCCGGTCCCAACCACTGTATTTACACCCTGTTACCCTTGTGAGGGGGCTGAGGGAGCATAGGCGACATGGGAGAGGAAAACCGGTAGATCCACATAACATCAAGCCAGATGGGACCTAGATACAAAGATTCTTGCGAGATTTTTTCTGGGAAGAGTTGATTTCAACCCCTCTGTGCCTGTTGTCTTTTGTCATTAGATCCCTCCTATGATGCAGTCAGGAGAACAGGATGGGGCAGTAATATGAATTCTGGCCTCACCAAAAGTAAGTTGTCCCAGTGGGAATCACAAATTCTGCAATGGAGGATCAAAATGAGACCGTGGGAGAAGCCGGGCATGGCTGGCTTGTGTTACGAGCATCAAAAGGGTAGCAGATTTGGGGGTAGTCAGTAAGATAAGAGCTAGAATTATCGTGGTCTCCATGTTAACCACCTGCCTGTAGTCTGGTGTAATATTTTTAGGGACAGATATAGACAACTTGGGCAGATTCTGAGAGTTTCTTACTACTTTTCGGAAAGTAAGATTCTACACAAAATCTAGCGGGCAGATAGGGCCCCGACTGCCTGAGCCCTACTCACACAACTGTTCTTGTTTCTTACTGGTTTTATAGTGCCCCCAAATTCACAGAACACTCTGGGTGACATCATGTTAGAAATATCAGCTCCCTGCCCCTAAAGATTGTATTCCAGCTAAGATAACCAGCTGATACCGAGCCTGCTTCCACTGCTGGGGTGTATCCCTGTGCAGCAGTGCTGCATGGGCACATTCGACTCTCAGCAAGGCGCTACCGGCTGCAAATAAATGTGGCAGAACCTGGCTATCAGATTCTACTTCCTTTGCTCTGCAGCTTTCCCAGCTACGCGTGCTCTAAACGGGAAGGCTGGTCTTTGAGTTCTGGTTGTCCGTTACAAGAAATGATATGAAGAGGAGGAACAGATGTTAATGTTGAAGTGATTTATAGAAATGGCTGCGATATTTTCAACAAAATGTTCAATTTGGTAAACCCAAAAGTTTTTGCATAAAAAAGTTTGGTTTAGAAAAGAATTTGCATTTAAAAAAAAAAAAATTGAAAGAAGTTCCAACATGGAAGAAGGTCAGAATGTATACATTTAAAAAAAAAATCCAATTTTCTCTTCAGAACATGGATGTAAACTAGAGTGGAAGTTAATTTGCAATAAAAGACAGAAAATTAACAAAATATGTGCATATTTTTTCTTGCCTCGTCTGCATATTTCCATTTTATGGCAAAATTTTTCCAGTGAAATCTCTTAATTTTATAGCATAATTTTTAAAATATCAGTTCTTAGCATTAGAAAACTTTTCCCCTCCCAGTTGCTATTATTCCTGTTCAATGTGTCTTGTATTTGCCTTGTTCTCTGTGCACTCCTCCTCCTCTGTTTTAGTACATACAAGATCTTCCTCTGTCTTTACAGGCCCTCCTGTTGCAGGGACACAAAATGTGAATAAGACAACAGAACAGCAACGGCCCCAGCCAGGTAACTGCTGATTTTGTCCCGGCTGCATTTGCTAAGCAATTAGATTTTTACAAGACTGGGTGAATAAATGTGTTAAGCAGCACCAACCTGGGCACAGGACAACCAGGCAAAGCCTTGCAGGGAGGTCTCAGGATAATCCAGCCAACTGTGACCGAGCAGTGACAGCGATGGTTCCACGCTGTTTCTGTTTTACTGCATCATCCTTCCCCATTCAAAAGGAACATCCTTGTTTCAGCTGGGTCACGTGCAGGCCCAGCATCCGTGGTGTCTCCTTTGAAGCAGCATGACACGCCGTGTATGAGGTCGTGAAGCAGTTAGGGGCACAGAGCTGTTGGGGCTGCAGCGGTGAAGCGTCGGCTCGTTACCTCTTCACCTCCGCTGCGGTGATGTTCGATGGAAGTGTCTCCAAACAGAATCAACAGGGCTTCCCCTGCGTCAAAGAAAACCAAATAAGAAAAGCAAACCCCGTTGGGCAGCAAGCAGTAGTGTTTCCTGCTGGTTTCCCAAGGGGCTCTTGAAGAGCTAAATACCACCTTCTCTGCTTTGCACAGCTGCTTTCTATCCCTTCTCTTTTTTTTTAGGGGGTTGGTTCTTTTGGCATTGATTCAATCCACGAGCAAATGCTATAGATCCAAATCACCAAAACTAGAGAGAAGAAAAGGAGAAGTGTAGAGATTAGGGCTGAGGAGGCCCCACAGCAAGGGAAAGGAATACATTCCTAATAAATGTATTGTGGGGTTTTCAAGAAACACTCAGCCTCCTAGGAGCCAGTGACAAAACTCCTGTTACTCCCATTTGTCTAACACTCTGCTTGCTGCAGTAAGGGAGAGTTGGGTGAACATTTCATCGGCCTCAGAGGGAAACAAGCTGGACTGCTAACAAGTGACTCTGAAAATCTCCTCTGTGCTCCCATTCTTTTTATTAGGAGAAACAGATATACTCCTGATTTGTTACTGCTCCACTATCCCACACTTCTTTTTTTTTCACATTTCATGTTTTCTAGTTGACACATAAAAGTAGGGTATGTCCAAAGAGATTACGATCTTTGAAAGCGGGAGAGTCTGAAACCAATGCCAGAACCACTGTGCCATTTTAGATTCCATAAATAATTGGTGGTTGTTTGCTAAAAAAGAAATAAGGAACACAGCAAGTCTGTTCCAGGCCCTAGGAGAAGAGGCAGTATGAGTAAAGAAAGAAAGTGGAAATTTGAACTGATTTCTAAAATAAACAGTAATGAACTGTTTTTTTCTTTCTGATGAAACATTTTTTAAATAGCTTTTTTTTTTTTTTAGATCCCTATCAAATCCTGGGGCCCACTAGTAGCCGTCTTGCCAATCCAGGTGAGTTCACCCTTAAATTTCAGACCACCATTATCAGAGGGGTTACCTTTCCTTCTGCTTCACTTCTGCATCTGTACAGGAGGAGCAGCTCGTGTCCTCTACCGTTGGGGTAGGCTGTGAGAGGCATTCACCTCAGCAGCTGTGCTCTCACAAGTGCTTTTGCAAAAACCCGTACAGAAAAGTGGTGCAACATCATCTTTGTCAGGACAAAATCACCATCCTGAATGTTCTTACCCAACATGAGCATTCCCTAAGTAGAGCTTTATAAGGGACTTAAATACTGATCTCTCAGATTTGCACTACAGGTTAGTTTTTCTCTGTCTGCTATGGATTAGATGAATGGAAGGCACAAAACGGCTCCAAAAGTCACAGTTTAGTCATCTGCAGAAAACAGACTTTGGGGAATAAGACCTGGAGTAAACAAGCTTGTATACACTGAATGCTTGTAAGGAAACACTTTCGTAAGGACCTTTACTATTAGTATAACCACACCGAATACAACTAGGAGTCATCTAGTCTGGGGAACTTTATGTAACTCAGGTCACCAACTGGAAAGAAAACCATAGGTGTCCAAAACAACATCCATGCTAAACAGTAAGCAGTTGAGAGTTGAAATACACTGTGTTAACTATTCAGTGAAAAGTTTTGCAGAACAGTTTGCTCGGGAAAATGCCTGTTTATGAATAGCTCGAAGATTTTAAGGCCAAAGGCGACCATTATGAAATCTAATCTGACCTCAAACGCATGAACAGAACAAAGGATTGACTAACTTGTTTGCTGGGAACAGTTTATCCATTCCTACATAAGACTTTCTAAGGCTTGAAGGAGCAGTTCCCAGTAAAGATCGAGATAGTCCTTCTGTTTCCTGCCTTTGTCTTTGCTTTTAAGCAGGAAACACAATGTCATTTCCTTTCCTCTTTGGCTTGCTTCTCGCAGGGAGCGGGCAGATCCAACTGTGGCAGTTCCTCCTCGAGTTGCTGTCGGACAGTTCCAACGCCAGCTGTATCACGTGGGAAGGGACCAATGGGGAATTCAAGATGACGGACCCTGATGAAGTGGCACGGCGCTGGGGAGAACGCAAAAGCAAGCCCAACATGAATTACGACAAGCTGAGCCGAGCCCTCCGATACTACTATGATAAGAACATTATGACCAAAGTGCATGGCAAAAGGTATGCCTACAAGTTTGACTTTCATGGCATTGCCCAGGCTCTTCAGCCTCATCCCACTGAATCGTCAATGTACAAGTACCCCTCAGATCTCTCCTACATGCCATCTTACCATGCCCACCAGCAGAAGGTGAACTTTGTACCCCCGCACCCTTCTTCTATGCCTGTCACATCATCCAGTTTCTTTGGAGCAGCCTCACCTTATTGGACCTCCCCTGCCGGAAGCATTTATCCGAACCCCAATGTCCCTCGCCACCCCAACGCCCATGTATCACCACACTTGGGCAGCTATTACTAGATGCTTTCATCTTCAAGGGGGCTTTATCAGTCTGGTTGGACTTTTTCTCTACTTCTGGGATTTTTATGGTTTTTGGGGGACCCTTAATGGATAATTGTGGCCTTTCTGGGGAAGAATTTAAACTGGATATTGGTTATTCCTGGATCAAACCTTTTACTTCTGTTAACTTTGCCTCTTGTGTCTTGAACTGAGAGATGGATGCTTCTTTGGGCCAGTACTCTGCTCTTTTTTTTTTTTTTTTTGGTGTTTAACGCTTATGTCCTCTGTAGGAAGCGACTATGAAGATTGTTCACCATTACCTGGAATGATCACTAGCTTTTCAATGAGAGAAATTTTTAAGGATTCAAAGGCTTTTGACAAGACATAGATCCAACTGTGGGTCGTAGGAAAAGATGACTACATGGGGTTTTTTTCTCGCCGTGGAGAGGTTAGGCAATTTGACCATTAAACGGAGGACGTTGGGCTGCAGGGGACCGCAACTGGAATCTTAGCTTTAAGGCAGATGAGGATTTTCACCCAACTGGAAATTAAATATATATATATATTCATATATATATATATATGTGTGTGTGCATGTATATTTTAAGAAGCAAAGGGCATTGAAGGAACTTTTCTAGAGTGTACAACTTCATTAGACTGTGTATTAACTCCAGAAATATCAGAAACCAGAACAAAAAGTAACCTAATGTCAAGCACAGACATTCCTTGAAAGCAAAAGTGAAGTAAAATAAATGACAGCAGGCCCCTGAGCTCTGCCAGAGTCTTAAGGGTCGCTAAATGCTACCGATTCGCGAACGCTGTGCGTTTGTCAGACCGTCATCCAAAGTGGTCAACAAATCAGAAGGCAAATTACTGTATAAATTATGCAGAGTTATTTTTCCCTATATCTCACAGTTTTAATAGAAAGATTAAATAAAACGAGTTGACCTCGGTCACAAATGCAGGTTTGTTTTTTACTATCAGCTCAGTTGTTTGTGGGTTGTTATTGTTTTTTTGTTTGGTTGGGTTTTTTTTTTAATGTAATTTGTACATCTTTTCAATCTGTACATTTGGGCTGTGGCTTTGTACTTTTTGCTAAAAAAAAAAAATTAAAAAATAAGACATGAGTAATGTATCTGTTGGAAGTAGCCTTGGTCCTGCAACTGGATCCGTAATTGACCCCCAAAGTAGCCAGAAATCTTCCAGATCTCCCTGGGTTTGTCTAGAGTAGAGTTTTTTCTTGTATTAGCCTGTCACAGTTGTCTGCAAATTAACTCCACTTAGCTAACATGTTTGCATTGAAGCTGATTGAAAACATGCACCAGTATTTTAAGGCAAACTATTGAAATATTTTGTCATTATTCTTCACCAAAATCTTGAACTTCGGAAAGAAATTAAGCACTTCATAGACAAAATTATCAAATACTTCCCATAACGTCTTTTTGAAAACTTTCACGAGGCGGGTTCATTTGAATTTTAAACATTCAGAAATTCTCAGCCATCTCTAATTTGCACATGTTAATTTGATGATCCACAAACGGCGGTTTGGTGCCATAAACAGAAGGGTAAACCACAAGCATTTGTGTTTTAGAACAGATGTCTACAGGGTGGGGGGGTGTGTGTGAGACTTACATGTACAACCTATTAGCTAACTTGTATTAACTGGCAACCAATTAACAGGATCACAAATAATCTAGTCTAGACATAACCTCTGGGACTCTGGGTGGGTGCACGATTCGGCCCATGTGCATCCGATTGCAGGATGAGAGCCCGAAACCAGAACATTATAGTCTGCTCATAACTTTAAACAGAAGCACTGATGCCATTATTTAACGAAGTGGAAAAATAAGATCAAGCTAATCAGTTTAGGTCTTAGTGCTTTTGGGATGTTTATAAGTAACATTACTGCAATAATCGCAAAATTTAAGTATGAAGAAATTACCCGTGGAAATGGGGCTTTTGCTACTATATATATGCAATGTACTTTTTGGATATTAAAATATATATAATTTTGCAAGTAATCTTGGTGGTTTTTTTTTTTAAAAATGTATTAAGTGTTACAATGAAACTGTTGTATGAAATGAATGATGTAAAAAAATGTGACAAAATAAATGATGGTTTTCTTCTCTAAGGCATCATATTGTCCCACTCTCTCCCTCCCTTCTCATACCTGCAGATAAAGCACGAGCTTTGCCTCTAAATTAAATTAGGTAAAAAGGAAAACAAAGCGTCTCCATAGTAGTGGCAATCATAAACGTTATCATTATAAAAAAATATCGACCTCTTATTCCAGAAAATTCATTTCTCTGGAGCTGGTGTTTATCAGACCTGATTTAGTTACTGAAGTGTCTAAATCAGAAACTGAGGCTTCATCTTTGGTCTATGGAGAGAGAGAGAGAGGGAAAGTGGTAGAGTAGTCAAAGCTCGAGGAGGTGAAGTGTCTCCCACGAGGACGGTGGCAGAGCTGGGAGTGCGGACCCTTGCCCGGTGCCCCAGCGACGGGGTCACAGCCCTGCGCCGACTGCCAGGATGTGCAGCCTCCCTGCGAGAGCCATAACTGACCTAACAGACGTCGCCATCTCTTTGTCTTCGGGGTGCTCAAGGAGCCATTGACAGAACGTGTATGTGCAATGCTATCTGGATTACCAGCCTGCCTGCCTGCTCATGTTTCTCACCTATCCCCGAACCCCAGGGAAAGCCAGTGCTCCAAAGCATTCCTGAGGTGGAGTAAGAGGCTGCAAAAACAAGCACTGCCAAGGAATCTTCTGATTGTGTATAAAGGTCAGGCAAAGGCACTTCCTGTATTTTTGCAGACACACGGTGGTCCTGAGAGATAGCTTGATCTTTCTCCCGATGTGATAAACCCTTGGAAATACATAACTGCAGAAGTACACCATTTCCTTCCTCCACACACAACCTTTTGTTGCTCAGTTTCTAGTACAATAGCTTCCACCGCCTTGATTAGCAAACCTGGGCTCTGCAAAAGGGCGATGTTAGCGTGTTCAACCACCCTGGAGCTGTTCCCTTTGTGTACTCAACCCTAGTTGCTCAATTCAGTCACAAGAGTGAGTGTGCTGTTGCTTATCTCTATTGTTTTTCACTTCAGCGCTATCCAGATGCATTCTGGCTATGCCTCATCAATAAGACATCAAGCATTTTATTTTAATACAGCGCATCTGCCCAGTTGCCAGTAACAGGAAAATCTGAAGGCTGAGATTGCACAAAAACGTCTCAAGGCAGAAGGTTATCAGAGTGCAAAGATGTCCCTGATAGAAAACTTTGGCCAGGAGGATCCTTGGTGACAAAAAGGCTTTTGCAAGCAACCAACAATTAAAGAAGCATCTGTTTCTGGCTGTCCAACTTCCAACATTTTACAGGAGCCCAGGCTGGGATGGAAGGTATCAGCAGCATCCCCAGCTCAGGTCCTTTCTGTTTCCTTTCACCCTTCTCTTCAGGGTACTTGCTGGTGCTAATCTTTGCTAGTATTTGCTAATATTCAGATACAGTTTGCTCTTCATGTACATTCCTCAAGTAAAGAACAAGTAATAACATACAGACTGGCGTAACCCATTTGTACGCCCCGGATATCAGCCTGACCTTGCCATGTTGGAAGCTCTAGGGTTGATAACAGGGGGATTTCCCCTCCCAACCCAAGTTTCTGGGACACACTGAGAGAAAATAAACAAGGAATTTGACAGTACTAATGCTACTTTTTGCTTTTCCCAGGAGGACAAGGCAGATGGAATTCAAGTATTTCAGGCTTAAATCAGAAAGTTTACCAAACAGATGGTTGGGATCACATGGTTGTGAGCTGTGAGTCAACAGGGATAGCAGAAAATCTTCTCTGCATCGAAGTTCAGAATTCAAACCTCACCGGGAAACCCCGCTCCCTTCGAAATCAGTGGTAACTCAGCTATTAATGTCTAGTGATCTGGTGTTCACCCAGTATTTCTGTTCTACGATGCCAGTTCAAACACTGAATGGGATCTAGCTTAAATACACCAAACTAGAATTAGCAATTTCACCTTCTATAAATAGATTGTAAATGAGATATGATCGATGATGGCTTTACAGTCTCTGAGCTCCAGCTCCTTTAGCCGGGATCTTTGTGACAGTTGGTTTCTACTGGAGACGTACCTGCCACAGGGTCTGCTTATCAGAGAAAGGGAGAACAAGAAGGTATTCTTGCTCCTTACTTACAGACATCAAGGTTAGAACCTGCCTTCAATCCTGTTTTGAAGAAGGCTTTTTATCCCCACTACATGGCTACTTAGAGTCTAGAGGATGGAGCTGCCAGCTTTAGCACTTGTGAGATGCTCTAGATTAGGAGATGCCAAATCCTCCTAGTGTCAAGCATCTGAGATTACTCCTATCTATAATCCTCATGTATAGAGTGGTTTGCTGCTTTTACATACCAAAGAATTGTATTTCAACCTGGAGAGTGAATTTCTAAACAACTGTGGATTTCTAACGTGCACCTAATACTATTGCAAGGGAGAGGGATTTCCCCATTCTCAGTCCTTCCCGTCAGCAAAGAGAAAGGAAGTGTTTCTCATGCTACTGCCCAACAAGCGTGCTCCAGTCCTAGTGAGACATTAACTACATGGAAAATTTGCTGTAACTTCTGTTGGTGCAAATATTGGATGTGAAGCTGGACTCGTGGGATAACGTTTCACCTGCGTTCGTACTGTTCACAACGACCACAAATGGCAATGCCTCATGTTTTGTAATAAAAGCACCGATGAACCCAGCTGCTGTTTCCCACCCCTCCTCTTGGAGGAAAAGAGCCATCGGTCTGTAAATTCTGGGTTAAAGGAACTCGCTTCACTTTATTATACTATTACAATAATAGATTTTTTTACAGGTTGCTTTGCTGTGCTGATACAGTATTTTTAATGACCTCTGTGAAATCAGTTTGTTAGACATCAGCCCGCTTCCTAACAAAGTAGGTTCTCCCACATGGAACTGAATGTTGCTGCATTTGGTGTTAATTAGTCTAGAGGCACATCGGGGGCTGGGGTTTAATAAATTCACTTCAAAGACCCTATTTGTATACTTCTGCACAATACCAAGCATAACATATATATTATGATTTTCATCTGTAAAAGCACACTCGTTGCAAAATAAAGCTCAGCCTTTTCTATCGTATTAGAAAAGAATTAGCAGACCCTTGACTAAGCTCATGCAAAGAGCGACACCTAACACATAATTTAGCTTGTGCGTTGTGATTTTTGTATCTAAGAGGTAGAAATCCTTGCACATAAAGCTCAGGTTCTTCTATTATATGAGAAGAGAATTAGAGATCCTTTACAAAATTCAGCTCTTCACGCTGAAGAGAAAGAAAAGCAGATTTGAGGCTGCCCCAGCAATGTCCCTCAGCAGTGGGGAACGAGCTGCTGTAACAGGGCAAGCAGGTGTGTCAGGGATGGCCCAGAGTGTTCACAGCTGATGCCGCTTCGACCAGTACAAATTACTTCAGCAAACAAGCAGGAAGGGTTCTTTTGGGGCAGGGGGAGTTTTCTTAGAAGAGGGGACCTTGCTGCTCCTGGGAGAAGGCAGATAAAGGTAAAGATCTGTGTTTGTTGAGTTGTAGTGGCTGAAGGAGGAACGGCCCAGGGACTCTGGCAGTTTGATGCGCAGCTATTTCAACACAAGCTCTTGCTCCTTCCTTTCCAGGAACTGCTGCAAACTTGTTATTTGCTTTGGCTTTTCATTAACTTTCTGTCTCCTGGAGCTGTAAAGTCTGATGCTGGATCTGCTTTACCTTCCCTGCTGCTGCAAAACCCTGCGTGCCCTGTGCTGGGGTGTTGAAGAACAGCATCCCCAGCCTTTGGGGAGCGTGAGGTCTCTTTTCCAAGTGTCTGTGTGTGGCTGCTGGAGGAAGTTGTGGTACCCTGAACCCCACCCTTAGGTGCATGTTACTGTGAAGGGTTCAAAGCTTTCCTTAAAGCTCTGTTTCCTGAAGCTCGGGGCTGATAGGGAGCTGAGCAGCAGCAAACTAGACTTCCCAGCTAGCACAGCTGCAAGCTCCACGGACACAGGTCTGTCGGTGGCCCCAACCTTGCTGGGGGGATTTGGGGAGCAGTGTGGGGCTGGGGCCTGCAGGAGCAGCATCCTTATAGGGGTGGTGTGGGGAGATTTGCCCCCATGCACCCTGAGGGGGGTGAGTGGTCCCTTCTAGCAACCCGCACCCCGGGGTGAGGGTACCACCTGTGCGTGGGATGCGCTGAATTTGCGGTGGTGTGCCAGGTCTCGGGTGCCCGAAGCGGTGCGTGTGTGCGCTGGAGGCACTGGCAAAGGGTCTTGGGGGTCTGCCTGGGGCTGGGAATGCATGGAAACCTTGCAAGGCTCTGGGCTGGGGGTCTGCCCTCTTGGTGTTTTGGAAAAGTAGCCCTGAAGGGATTAACCTATCCTTTGGTGTTTGCGAAGCTCCTGGCACAGGAGCAGTGAGGGATGTAATTTAGACTTGTAGATGCTGGGAAGTGATACACGGGTTTCACAAACGCTCCTGCAGCAGCAGCGAATCACTTCTGTGAGTCTGTAGGCTCTGTCCTGTCCTAGGGACGCTTCCAAACCAGAGGGGGGGCTTCAGCTGAACCAGACGCTTTTGGGCACCGTAGCAAAACTAAGGCAGAGCTAGAACTGCTTTTGTTCGCATCTGGGGAAACTGAGGCTCCGAGCAGGGAGCAGTGACTTGCTTGGAGTTGCAGAAGGAACATAGGTCTCCCCAGACACAGCCTCGCTGTTACTGACCCCCCTCCCCACCCACTGCAGACTCTGTTAAGGGTGCTTTAGGGTGCCTCTGCAGACGTGATGTTTACAGCCCCCAACCCTCCGCTTACAGATCACCTCTGAATTCACTGCGGGGAGTGAAATCTCCCGACACTCCTGTGAAGTGGCTAAATAGCTAAATAGAGCCAGCTAGCAGAGCTCATGCCAAATATAAGTCACTGAACGCATTAAACTTGGTGCAATAAAATAAGGAACAGTCCCCATAAACGCTGGCTTTGCGCTCGCGAGGTTGCCCCGGCGCGCGCGGCTGCTGCCGCCGGAGCGGATCCGGAGGGAAGGGCTGCCATCCAGCGGCAGCCAGGCCCATGACACATGGGAATGGCTGGGATCCCTC